TGAAGTTCCATTTTTCATTCCCATGATGAGTGGGCGGCTATGTCTTTCCATTCAAATAATTCACCCAAATTATTGGCAACTGAGCGACTGAGCCCGAGTCTACCGAGTCTACTGACTGGCAGCAGGGCAGGAACAAACTCTTTAGTGCCGGCCCTAAACCAAGGCCCCCAAACTCAATTGGGCCTTCCTTCTGCTTATCAACCTCGCACTTGCAGTGGTTCCACCAACCTCCAACCTCTCTTCATTATTCATACCATACCACTGGGCTGGGCAACATTCCTGGCCCAAAGCCAGGGAGACAAGACAAGACACACACTTGGGTCGCCTGACCTATGTATACTTACTTACTGGGTAACAAACTGAAACCCAAAGAGAATAGGGGAGACTGCCCTCTCCTCTCCCCTTCCCCCGCCGCAGCTGCAGGGAGGAGTTCATCTTGCGCATTGCACGCACGGCCTACTTAGTGGCAGTCAACGAGTTTCTCTTTTGTTCGCTCGTTTCATTTCATTTCAACTCGAAGCTCCCCTCGCATCCTAGGGTAGCCTTGACCAATCAAGTCAGTAAGTAGAAAGCGTAAAAACAAGGCACCAGCCATACTAATAATTTCCCGCCGGACAATAATGGGAGAAAGAATCCAGTGAGTGCCAAGGGCTGGCTCCATCTCCTCATTCATCATTGACAACGGAGTCGACTAGTCATCTAAGACTACTCACTAGTGCACCGAAAATTCCCCAGTCTGGTTATTATTGATCGTAATGCTAGTAATCTGGGTGTAAGTATCTGTTTTCCAGATCATGCGGGAACCATCAATGAAGACCATGATTTGAAAAACTAGAACTAGAATTGGAGGAAAAGAAGAGCGCGCGTGTGCATGTAGAAAAAGGGGATATTGAAAAGCAACCAAGAAAAAACAAAACAAAACAAAAACACAAAAAATCTTGAAAAGGAAGGGGAAATAGGAACTTACCTAACTTGAAAAAAATAAAATAAACATATACACAAACTAAGTAAGTAACTTAAGTAACTTAAGTAACTATCGGTAACTCAGGTATGCAGAGAAAGACTGGAGAAGGAAGGATGGATCTAAACTGGCTGTGGCACCTTCTCTCCTCTCCTCTCCTCTCCTCTCCATCCTGTTATTAGCATTATTATTATTATTATTATTATTACCGCCGGACTGCTGTAACTAGCTGTAGCTGAAGCTGTCGCGGTAGCTGCTGCTGCTGTTACTGCTTTACCCTCTTGGCTTAGCTTCTTTCCTTCAGCTTCCTTTCTCCTCTCTTCCTGCTCTCTTATCATCAATTCTTCTTCTCCCTCTCCTCTTTCCTTTCCTTCTCCTCCTCTCTTCTCCTCTTCTTCCTTGTTAAACTTCTGCCTTTCCCCCTTCCCCTCCCCAGAATAGTAGCGTCTCTTTATAACGTCTACTACGTACAATTACCCCATACCTGCTCTTCTTACCTTGCACGTCTCTTTACTGCGACTGTGATATACACATCAGCATCCTACCCTCGCCCATTCGAATATCTACTTAATCACTTTCATCATGTTGGCCTCCTCGCTCTTCGCCCTCGGTCTGGTCGCCTCGGCCACCGCCGCTTCTACCGGCAACTACACTCTACCTGATGGGTTCGACCTGAACGCCATCTCCTCTGGCACCCGCGGTATGCTAGTATGCGATGTTGTCTTCCTTACCCTTCACTGACTCGTTGATTCTAGCCTCTTGGTGTACCGCGGAGCGCAACTCTTGCCCTGAGATTTGTGGTGGAGTCGCTACCAGCAACTCCTGCGACTCGGTAAGCGCATAGCCGAACCAATTGAAGAGAACGAACCGCTCACCATGTCGCGACAGACTACCTTGGACTTCTCCTGCATCTGCTCCAACGGTTCCGCCGCCGACGTGTCGCTTTATGCGCAGACCGTCCCCTTCTTCGTTTGTCAGGCCAATTATGCCCAGTGCATTAGCAACTCGTCCAGCTTGACTGAGGAAGAGCACTGCAAGGACTATGAGAAGACCTGTGGCACCCTGAATGCGTCGGCTGCCTCGACTACCTCGTCCACCACCTCGAGCGCCACCAGCTTGACTACGGCTACTAGCACCAGCACTAGCTCTGACAAGTCTACCACGGCTACCGGGACCAGCACCTCGAGCAGCACTAGCAGCTCGTCCACGGCCAACGCTGCCGTTCGTTTGGCCCAGGAGCATGCCACCGGTCTGTTGGCCACCGCATTGTTTGTGGGACTGCGCCTGGTGTTGTGAGCGAAAGACTTGAGAGCGAAAACGACCCGAAGGAAGGGGCGTGTTATGTGCAAGCGGGTCAACAAACACCAACTGATTGGGACCGTTCGCATATTTTGATGTCTGTGGGTGTGGGGTTAGAGTGCTAGTTCTGCCTTCCAAGACATTTCTCCGAGTCTGTGTAGTGGTAATACCATGTTTCAAGGGGAGGAAGGGTGTTGGTTGTTGTGGTGGTTGTATGTTCTACGACTTGATGTCAAATACGATTATTCCCCGCTGGGCGCCCATAGGAGGGGTCGATCCTTGCACTTTAATTTAATCCGCCATTGAGCTGATTCGTTTTTCTTTTCTTTTCTTTTCTTTTCTTTTCTTTTAAGTGTATAATAGTTTTGTTGTTGTTGTTGTTGTTGTTGTTGTTGTATTGTTGTAGACGGAGGAGCATCCCACAGTATTCCAAGTAACTTATTGATGGTAGAAGCGGCGCCAAGAGTTTTTCCCACAACGGAATGGAATTTTCTCCACCGCCCAATCTCTGCCTGCTTGTAAGTTCTTTCCCTTCCTTTTCCATCTTCGCTTCTTTCGCTTCTCCTCCTTCTTCTCCCTCTGCTTCTCTTTTGGATCTTGTTTCCTTTCTGGTGGAACCCCCCTCCTTCTCCTCCGCCCTCTTATCTCCTGTATCTCAATTTTCTTTCGGTCTTCTCCTTTCCCCTTCCCCTCTCTCTTCTTTTCTCTCTCTCTCCTCCTCCCCCCCTCCCCCACCCCCTCCCCTCCCCTCTCCCCAAAGTACGAACCTCCTCCTCTCCGTACAACCATTGATCGATCTTTCGACATCGACTTCTAATAAACCACCACGATGCCCGCTCCTTCCACCACTCTCCTCATTGAGGGCTCGTTCACCGAACTCGCCGATGAGTTCGCCCAGTACATCGATGCTCTTCGCAAGCCCGACGCCGCCGCGTCCAGTCTCCAGGCCGACATCGCCCCACTGTTGGAACCTCTACGCCAGCAGGAACAGTCTGGTACCGAACCTGATCGCAAGCAGCGCGATGAGGTTCTGAAGAAGCTGGTCTCCGCCGCTGCCGTCCTGAATGCGGCCCCCGAGAAGGGTAAGCAGTTCTTTGGTTGTTGCTGCGGAACGAAGAAAGACACAAGACTTATGACAAATGGACGCAATTGACGCAAACCAGAGATCATCTCCGCCTACAACCTCCTCGTCCACCTTGTTCACCAGGCCTCCGATCCGGACATGTTCCTCTCCCGCATCTGCTCCTACCTCGCCAAACCCATTACCGCCTCTCCCCAGTTCGGTCCCTCCCTGGCCATCTCCATCTTGTCCACCATCTTCAACACCCTCGCTCCCACCGATTCCAGCCGCTACCACGTTCTTCTGGCCATCGTTGCCGTCATCCGCCAGGCCGGTGCCTCGGTCGCATTCGACGCCCTCAAGCCCCAGCTGATCTCCCAGCTGCCTGCTTGGCTCGCCGCTTGGGAGCTCGAGGCTGAGGAGGCCCAGCGCCTCCACCTCGCCATCGCCGATGCCGCTCAAGCTGCCGGTGACGCCGAGCTTTCCCAGTCCCATGTCGTCCAAGCCCTGCAGACTATCCCCGCAGCCCAGGCCTCCAGTTCCGAAGCCCGCGATCTGGCCGTTCGTGCCCTGACTTCTGCGCTCACCTCTCCCGCCGTCTTTGACTTCACTCCGTTGACCGCTTCCGATGCCGTTCAGGCCCTGCGCGCCAGCGACAGCACCCTCTTCGAGCTGCTTGAGATCTTCACCGCCGACACCCTTGACGCTTACGAGGCCTTGATTGCCACCAGCCCTCTGACTGGTATCTCAGGTGGTGTGCTGGCCGAGGCCGGCGATGCTCTGCAGACCAAGATGCGCCTGCTCACCTTGGCCTCGCTGGCCGCTACTACCCCCTCCCGCTCTCTGCCCTATGCCACAATCGCCAGTGCTCTGCGGGTGTCGGACGAGGATGTCGAGAAGTGGGTCATTGACACCATCCGTGCTGGTCTCGTCGAGGGTAAGCTTTCGCAGCTGCGCTCCGAGTTCCTTGTCCACCGCGCCACTTACCGCGTCTTCGGTGAGAAGCAGTGGGCTGAGGTGCAAGGTCGCCTGATGGTCTGGCGCCGCAGCCTGGAACGCGTTTTGGGTGTTGTCCGTTCCGAACGTGAGCGCTTCGTGCGCGAGGGGCTGCAGGCGGCCCAGGCGGCTGAGGAGGCTGCTCAGGGCAAGTCCTCCGATAAGGGCAAGTCGGGTGACCGTCGTCGCCAGCAGGGTAACAACAACAACAACAACAATCAGAACCAGTCTTCGACTCCGGCCGCTCCTGTCGCCAGTGCCCCCGTGGAAGCTGTGGCTGAGTAAATGATGAAAGGACGGAAATGCGGGGAAGGATCAATGACTGATGATGAGACCTACATACCTTGTTTTTTTTGTCTTTCGACCTACTATCTACCAGATACCACACCCTTCAAACCGCGCAGACGGAGCTAGGGACGAGCTAGAAAAAAAAAAGACTTAAAAGTATCTCTGTGTCATGGCTGGGCAGCGGTGTTTAACGCTAATTCTTCGTGTCTTTGGATTGGGTGTTTGTAACTGATTTGTGTTTAACGCTAGAATTGTTCTATTTCACTGTCGGATCGAGATGGACGGTTTGATCGCTTGTGGTGTCAGGGGGTGGTGTGCTGTACCTAGAACATGGAGGATGAATCAACCGTCAAGACGACCTTTCTTGTTGTATCTCCGCCCCATGGCAGAGGGACCTCACCTGGGGGATTTGTGCGTCCTTACGGAGGCAATGGCGGAGATCAGGGGCAGAAAACTCCAAAACAAAATGTAGAATCAGGCCGGTCAGCCCAGCAACAAATCTATAACAAGATCGAATCTCCAAAACTATATGCGGTGGAAATAGATATGAATATATATGTACTTCAGAACGCTGACACCATCGACCACACACGCGTATCATCATCCAAGAGACTGTTAAACAAGTTCTGGAATCTCTGCAACCCATCGCCCATTCTCCTAACGAAACTCACAGGGGGTTCAGACCCTTCTCGCGGAGCCCCGCCCGAATCCTCTCATAGACGTCTCCGACATCGCCGGTAGCTTTCACGGAGACCACCTTACCCTGGGCCGCAAAGGCCTCGACGACGGGCATACTCGTTTCGACAAAGGTACGGAAGCGCTTGCGAATGCTCTCGGCGTTATCATCGTCGCGACCGCTGGTCTCGCCACGCTTGAGGAGGCGGGCCTCCATCACCTCCTCGGGGCAGTCGAGGAAGAGGGTCATCTCGGAGGGGCAGACCGTGTCCTCGAAGAAGACGGCCTGGTCGAGCTTGCGCGGGAAGCCGTCCACCAGGAAGCGAGGCTTGCTGCCTGCACTGGCGGCCGGGTTCGTGCCGGCGGCCAGGGTCTCGGCCATGGCGTCGGACAGCAGCTTGACGGTGATCTCCATAGGCACAATCTTGCCCTCGCGGATGTAGGTGCGGATGAGCTCGCCGGCTTGGCTCCCTTCGCGGACTTGCTCGGCGCGGAGCAGGTCTCCGGCTGACAAGTGAGTGAAGCCGTAGTCGCGGACGAGGTTGGCAGACTGCGTGCCTTTGCCGCTGCCGGGGCCGCCGAGGACGAAGACGACGGTTGTAGTGGTGGGGGAGAAGCGCGGGGTGGACATCTTGATAAGGATGGGATTCGTTTTTTTTTTTTGTTTTTTTGTTTTTTTTCCTTCGTTGTATTTGATTTTCGTTGGGAGGCGAATGAGATTGATTGGTTTCTCCCAAAAGAGAATAAGATGGAGAGACTTTGTTAAGGGAGCGGCGGGGGCGAAGGTGGGGGGCGGGAGGCGCGGAGGGGTTCGAGTCCTGTAAATCAGGTAGAAGACAAAAATGTTAGTTTGTTTGATGGGGGACTGAAGCGGGAAAGAGGGGTAAATATAGCACGGTGCTTGAAGGTACTGTACAACGACAATCGATTTACTCACTTAATCTAAACGGTCTCGGATGGCTTGGGTTTATGGACGCCGGTACGGGACTTTGAGAGTAGAATAAAGGAGCCAGATCCGATACCAATAATAATCAAGAACGGAAGGACTTTGAATTGAGAACGGCTGTATTGAGTGGATTGAGGGGAAGGACCGGGAGCAGAAGTGGAAGAGGGAGAAGGAGAGGAGGAGGAAGAAGAGGAAGAAGAGGAAGAGGAGGAAGAGGACGAGGGAGAGGAGGGGGCGGAATAGGGGCGGCGGTGTTGCAACTGGAGCTGTTGCTGTTGCTGGAGAAGCACCCGAGAAGAGACACGCAGTGGGCGAGGAACAGTCCGGATTAGGGCCGACATGAGATTTAGATTGAGATGAGGATGATGAGAAGCGCAGGAGGAAACGAAAGAGAGAGGGGCATGTATCAGAGCAAGCAGGAATGGATTGTATTACTGAGTCAATGATGCTGTTAGATATCGAGTAACTACAAAGTTAAGTTGCAATTGATTGATTGTAGGCAAAAGGTTGGTCTGCAAGGTTCAGTGCAGTTCAGTTCAGGTTTGGTTGGTTTGGTTGGTTTGAGCCCGTTTTTGGCTGACGAGGCTGTTTGCGGACTAGCGCCACGTGGGTAAGTACACCTTGTAGGTATGTACAGTACTAAGCCTGGAGGTCAACTTATGGAACTAATACGGGCAGCTTATTAGGACGGAACATGCAGGTATATTGAAAATATATTCATATTCATATACATATTCATATTCATATTTATACTTATATATACACATATCTAGATATGTATGTACTAATAGGTGTAAGTTATATATGTCTCTCTAGAACAATATTGCCCGCTCAAAATCAATGCATTTGCTAACCATCCTCCACCACTGGAACCTCGTAGTATGCCTGCATACGACGCTGCTTAAGCACCCAGTAGCTGCCCGCCAGGAGCCCGCCGACGGAACACACCACCAAAATGAAAATCAGTAGGCCACCCACCCCGTGAATGACCTCATTGGCCATATTGACGGCCTTGGCCTCCTCCTTGGCCTTTTCATATGCCTCATCGACCTCTTCCACGTCCTCCTCTGGCGCCTTCTGCTTGCCATATAGAATAGCTGGATCGTCCGGCGTGGGCTTCGCATCGCCTTGGAATCCGGCCAGGCGCCAGTTCGGCGGTGTATCCGTCCGGTGGATCTCTGATGTGCCCAAAACGTTGCCATCCCCGTCCACTGCTTCCACTGATACCCAGTCCAGGTAGCCTTCGGCGATATACATGGTCTCGAAGTCGGATTTGGTGGTGTTGCCGATCAGCACTGGAAGACCCTGCCGGTCAACGCGTGCATAGAAGTTCCAGGATGCAACATCCGTTGCACCGTTCCAGCTGACATGCAAGATGGTTGCCATATCCGTCTCGTCTGTCCCGTAGACCGATGCCACAACGTCCGGTGGTTGGCTAGGCCGACCCACGAAGGGAAATTTGTACGACCGATAAGAAGAGAAGCGCGTGGATGCGAAGTTAGCCTGCATCAGTACCTTGCCGTCGGGACTATGTTCGCTCTGGTAACCCCGCTCGCTCCAGCCAACAAAGACGTTGCCGTTGGGCAACCTTTGGACACTGCCACGAAGCCTGGTTAGGTCGCCGTCCGGCCGGTCGTACCGATCAAGTAGGCGGGCCGTCATGGTTGTCGTGTCGACCTGGACGAACATCGCAGCTGAGACCGTCTCCTCGTTCTCCGCCTCATCAGACGCATTGTTTAGAAAAGAGATAGTCGTGTGCGTGGCGTTGGAATCCACAAACCGCGCGTGATGCTGCTTGGAAAAGGTGAAATCCTGGACAAAATCAGAATACTTTCCGCCCAGACGCCAAATGATGCGTCCGTCCTCGCCGGATATCAAGTAGATCGTGCTCGTGAATCGGGCAGACAGCAGATAATCACCTGCCGCGTTTTTGTCTGCCGCGTTCACATGCACATAATCCCAGCCAGGTTCATTGGATGCCGGCCAGTCGGCGTTCACTTTGACAGACTCATGAATGGGAATGTATCCTAGTGAATTCCACTCGAACAAGACCTCGCCTGTCGCGATGTCCAGCTCGACGAGCCCCCCCGTGACTATCCAACCGTACTCGTTTGGCCGGCCAAGGTCTCCTAGATCCACGTATTCATTCCGGTAGGCGCAAGCTAGTGCTGTCTTCCCGCCGTCGAGGACATTGAACTCATGCATATTGAAGGTCCCAAGATCGTTGGTCACTGCAACTACATTCTCCGGCTCATAATGCTGGTCGAGGATGTAACCATATCCTTTGTCCGCTGCACCGGAGTTGTAGCCATGTTGAAGAATGAATGAAAGGTGAGATTCGTTGTCAATATTGTTCACGGCCTTGAAATCGAATATGTTGCGGTTGTCAAACATGCAAGATCCGGCCCAGATGAGAACCTGATGATCCACACTTGATAAGCTTAGTGCTCCATAGTTTCGAGGCAATTTCAGACGAGCGTTCCGCTTTGTCGTAACAGGTAACAGGTCACAGAGAAATGACACAGCAGAGAGACGGATTCAAGGAGCGATGGAAAAGAAGGGAAGAGAGAAGCATGAAGATGAGCACTTACACCATCTGCGTCATAAATGTAGGGTCCAACTTGGCAAGGTTTCCATTGCTTCGTGGGTGCTTCTGGATCAATCACGCCATATGGCGCAACGAACCAATACCCCGGACTGACAGCCGGGCGATCGTAGTAGGCAATATCGAATTTTAATGCTCTGACCTCCGGCAGCTGATTGATTGTTAGTTAGTCAGTTAGAGACAGACGACGGTCGATATTAGCACCCTTGCCCATCACTTACCGTGACAAAGGACATCAAATCACTATCAGTCTCGGCTTTCGCGACTACACCTCGGAGAGCAAACAATGACAAGAACCAGAGGAATAACATTTTGAAGGAGTGACTGGGAGAGGAATGATCCCCTCCAAAGGCGACATACAACCAACTGAATGGGGAATAAGCAACGACTAATGAACTCGAGAATAAAAGGGCCAAGAAGAGAGAGGGAGAGAGAGAAAACAAAAGAGAAAAGCACGCGGCAGACGAAGAGGAAACGATCAAATCAACCAGGACGGTCGTCACTCGATCTCAGAGCCAAATTCGCATCGGTCGAGGGTGATCATCGGAGACGCTGCCGAGCGGCGGGCAAGGAAAAGAAACAGTTCCATCTTTGGAGTGTGAATAATGAGGACCTATTCATTTACTCGTACTGGATGGAGTACGTACTCGCCCCCGTATGGAGTACGGCAACAGGAGTAGTACGTAGCAGCAGTGTGTCCGCCAGCAGGAGAGTGTGAAAACCACTCTAGAAAGGGAAACGGGATGTGGTCGGGGACAACGCTTCCTTGCAATAGGCTAGAAGCCCGCAAAGTCTGGTAAAAACTCCATCAAGCTTGCCCAGGAAAGGTCAGTGACAACGTAATGGCTGAGATAGACGCTGACGATCAAGCGAGGCGGACACTCTTGGCGGCGTTTCGGAAAGTGGAGCTAAGGCACCACAATCCATCCAGATTCGTCGACTGTCACCCCCGGTGCGGAAAGGAACACTGGATTGAACGAAACGGACTGGGGCAGTTATGTACTATGTACAACCAGCGACTGAATTCATTGTAGACTGTAAGTTACTGTACGTATGAGTAGTACCTCATACTACTATGGAAGGGCAAATAGAATCGATTTACTACTTGATATACGGGGTAAAGAGTTGTCACCCGTACGGCGATATCTTCTTTGCTGAGATCGGACATCGGACATCGGACATCGGACCGTGGACATTGGTTCAAGTTACATGTCCCTGTACTTCGTACTCGGTACGTACGCTGTCCATTCGTGACGTTTCAAAGGTCTTGGCACCATAATGGTTAAATTGCCAAAATCTGATTTCAGAGAAAAACACGAAAGTACTGTACTTACACATACAGTAGCTTCGAGTCAGTTGGTTGTGAACCTGTGGTTCTCGCTCAATTTGGGTAAGCAAATGACACTTGAGTTCGTCTACTTGACCTGCCCCAAACTTGACGGAACTGAAGAAGAGACACTGATCCGCCGAGATCGGAGATGGTTCAAGTGCCTTACGGACCGGCTGCTCTCTCAATGATCTAGCCAATCACAAAATCAGAATGTTCGCAGTCTTTTGCAGCGCATATACATACAAATCCCTGTAGAGTCCATACAATGTATCATTCACAGAGAGATGAGGGCTGGAGCCTAGACGAACACAACGACGTGGGCTGGATCCTTCAGGGCTGCTTCACGGTCTCATTCCTATGAATAGTGGAACCTGTAGAGGCACAACTACGTAGTACGAATCCTTCCAGCTGTCCCACTTGCCCCTTGGCGCACCGTCTGAAATTTAGAATTGGCACAGATTGCGCTAAGATAAAACGCACAGTAGAAGCCTTATCAATATCAACCCTTTCACAATCTGATATCAATCTTTCAAATCTTTCATGCTCAAAGGATAAAATGGTCATCAAGAGGCCCACTAGCTGTGGCGCACGACCGGCCCTTCACCAAGCATAGTCCGCAACCTCAGGCTCCTGAAATATTTTTGGCTTGTATTTGAGAACTTCGGCCACAGCTATTAGCAGCAATCCCTCCGCGCGCTTCACATCCTCCATGCCTAGCTGAGGTGGGAGCCATTGCCCGCACACATTCGTGAGGTTGAGTCGGGATGGATCCCCCGGGCCATCATGCTGAAGCGCATCTGCGATAAGCGCCCATGCCAAAGAACTATAGAGAACTCCTTCATGGGTATAGAGGCCACCGCCGGGCCGATCCCGGCAGATAGTCTGCAAATGGTTGTTGGACACATCTGCTACCGGGGAACCTTGAAGAATCCCAGAAGCTTGTTTTCCACCCATCGGTTGCACAATCTGATCATATGAGGAATAGACAGTCGTCGTGGGCACATAGGCCGAATCGCCTCCGACGCGTCTCAGCGCTCGAACAAAGCCTGCATGCCACGCTTGTTGCCAAATGGCAGGAGTGCAGACAACGTTCGAGAGGATAGGGCAAACAAGTGTTGTCTCCACAGTCCCATGAAAGTCGGGACTGATCGCAATCAGATCCGTGACTACGGCGCGCGTGGACGGCCAATACTTGAATGCCCATTGGGTATTGAGACCTCCTTGAGACCATGCTATGACCGTCAGATTACTTTCCGAGAGGGCGGTGATGTAATTGATCGCGTATGCAATATATTCCGAGTTGACTTGGACGTCCCCTAGAGAAGCGGAAGGGACATTAACCCAGGCCATGCTTACTTCTGGTATGGCCTTTTGTAGTTTTGCGAGGTTGGACTGGAACATCGATCCGGCAGGAATGGCCGAGCCAGGAACGAGTAGAACGGGTTTGAGTTCACCTTTTCTCCTGGTAAGATCGTCTTGTATGTAAATAGCGGCCCGGAGAGTCTCCTCTGCGACACTATAGGGCACATCTTGAGCAGCTTTCCTAGGACATAGCGGTTGATGTGCTAGCACTGGATTTCTGTTGTGAAGCAAGTTTAGTCGAGAGGTCTGATACTGATTGAGTCCCATGAGTATGTCCTGTGACAAAAGTTCTGAAGTGATAATCTTAAGGGCGAGATCGACAAGAGTGAATTGCCGACCACTGGCGAAGATCTTCTCGATTATCTTCCAGACCAGGGGCAGGGAGCCGTCCCCAGTAATCGGAGGAGCGATACTTCCTGCAAGCCTTGCTTGTATGGCACGAGCGAGATCTGAGACCCGGCCATCCACTCCGGGTTCATGGGTAGCATCTGTCAAGATTGAAAGCAAAGTGGGAGCTGGAGTAGACTCGAGCGAGCAGTTAGCCAAAAGTGTCGGGCACGAGCTAAGTACCCCCACAAAAATGCCAATTAGAAAGCCTGTGCTAAAAAAAATACAGAGTCTCATTTTGAAGGTCAGAAAGGGAAGATTGCCTCAGTGCAGAGATTTGTGCCTTCAGAGATGAACCCTGAAAGAACCTGCAGCCATTCGACTGGGCAAGATGCAAGATGTATAAATCCAATCCATGCGTGAGATCCCCTCCCCTCCATTTCCCGGTGCAGTTGGCCTCATAGTTCCAATACTGGGAGTCTTCTCCTGAGTGGAGTCAATAGAAAGCGAGGGAAAAGAGGGATATTTCGCCATGGACCAGTCATCAAGCTTGCTAGAACTCAAAGAAGGGTGTCAGCGGCAGTAGTTTGAAAACAGAGCAGGTGATAGTGAATATTGAGAACAGCCGCAACCATTCGTTCAGTTGGCCAGCTCCTATCTTTGAAACTCAGCACCTAAACAAAGACATGACGTTGGCCGAAGGGCGCCATACAAAACCAGGGCTTGCTCTCACTCGGTCTCCAGGACCCTGCCGCGAGTCCCCTGTAAGCTTGTCATCCGCTCAAAGTTACAGACTTCTGAGCAACCCGAGCTCAAGCCAGAGCCGCGATGGTCAAATGACCAAGAATGCTGCGCAAATGGTTCGTCGGGCTTCTCGCCTGGGGAGAATATGACGGTCTGTGATAAATTCAATGCCACTATGAACTCAGCTCAAATAAGTCTGATCGAGAGCTCAAAGAGGAAACTGCCGATGCAAACGAGATTTGCTCGGGATGAAGGTGGCATTGCTGAGTAGGTAGGTACCAGGGTCCTTTCAATTGTTCGGGTGGGAGATACCTAACCACTGCCGCAATTGCAGCCTTGACTTCCGTCTTTCTGTTGTCGAGATACATACCTCGCTTTATCCGGAGTTTATGGGTCACTATGAATGATGGAAGGCTAGTCTGGAAAAGCTGGCCAAGCACCTGGCAATTCCAGATTCATCCGTAATTTAACTGTCCATCACTGCTCACATCAGTCAGTCCGGCATGCGGTGAAACGACGATGAGGATTAGGGGATAAGGCTGAGGAAAGTTGCAACGGAATCTGTACCAGTTCTTCATGAATTGGTCATATGTTGGAAGGCAAAGTCCCCATTCAGGAGAAGTTTCCTCGTGGTAACCTGTACACTTACATGCGGATAAATAGCAGCCACTTGGACTGAAGTGAACACGCCCATATGAAAGCCTCGGGCATCAACATGCGCAGAACCATGGTCGCCTTTCTGAATTGAATATGATATATCCTTATCCTCTAGAAATTTCGAAGCCGAAGCTGAGCAGATACCTGTGCAAGCCGCCCGTGTTACTGCAGTCGACGTTCCCAGATACCTTGATACGCTACGTACAGAACTAGTTGAGAGGAGACAGACCTTGACAAGGGATGGTTGTCAACCGCCAGAAGGCTTTAAGCACTAATCAAAGACAATCCTACGCTCACGTCGCCGACGATGTATGTGACTTATGGCCACCGGTCAAGCAACAAAGCTGATTGTTCAATTCCCGCGATGGCCGAATAATGCTGCTCTCGTCTTATGTAGGTATTGCACGAGAGGTTTCTGTTTGTCCAGAGGGCTGCTTGCTTTACGCCATAAATCGAACGCCTTGCAGGGGGTCTAGATCGTGGATGAAGCGATCTGCTCAGAAGCATGGATAAGTATGGTTACATCTTCCTGGATATACGAGGGCAGCACAATCTCTATGGTTACGGTTGCTTGCCCAGCCTGAACCTGGAGATTGCGTTTCGCTGCAATATCTGATGGCATGATTGGGAAGCAACACTCGGGATAACGACCCTTTTTAGTCGTCGAAACTTATTTTCATCCATATCTGCTTGACTACCATGAAGCTCACTGATGGGCAGGCACATTATTGTCTTGGTCTGAGTGAATAGTGTGAACGAAGCCCCGATAGTGGCATGTTGAGGTTGATATCTAAATTACAGCGGGGATACGAGGACGCTGGCCTACTATGTAGTGTCGAGCATTGCGTTGGTAAAGACGAGCACTTGAGCATCGCCCAGCAGACGTGACCTGACACCAGCAATGATGAAAGTCAGCTGCATCTGAACCAGGACTTCCCGCCCTTGCTACTCTTGAGCTGCATTCGATTCATCCCAAGCACGATGAGAGTCGTTCAAGACTTCCAGTGAACTCTAGCAGGGCTCAACCCTTGGCAGTACGTGTCTCGGTGTCTTGGCAGGGTATCTGGAATGCAGGAGGAAAGTGAAATCAGAGCAAAGTTCGAATTTGGCGGCGGGGATGGAATTGGAGGTAACTGGGGAGGTGTATGTTGAAACCAGAACTTTCTCAAGAGAGAGAGGAACGAGATTGGGGCTGTTCAATGGAGACTTAAGAGAGGAGGGCCCGGAGAAGGGTCGATGAGATTGGAAAGGATCATGCAAAGAGAACTAGCTTATAACTGATAACTGATACAATACCAGGTAGTAGGGGTGATGATTGGGAAGGGAGGGGAGGGGAGGAGGGAGGAAGGGAGGAGGAGGGAGGGAGGGAGGGTGGATGGATGGATGGATGGATGGCCCACCGGGGGAGGAAACCGAGGGATCCCTACTCCGTAGCCAGTGTAACACTACACGACGGGATGATTAGCCCGATTACCACCGTTGCACCCGCCAGTGGTCTTTATTGTACGGAGTACAGTAACTAACTACTTCAAGTTCTCCTGAGTCCTGACTAAAAGTGTCACATACCACTGAGGGGCAAAATCTCGAAATGAAGCAGAAGAAGAACGAACACCCAGAAAAGATGGATTGGCCAATGGCCGGGTCTCTGTTGTAACTCAACATCCTCAACAATACCCACGACGTTGTCATCATCATCATAACCTGTCGACTTCCGAGCCAGGGTTTCGGCCTGCCGAAATCGTTGCAGCAGCCACATTGCGACCTCCATACCTGTAAAGTGCCACTGTTGAGAATCCATCGGAGAATGTGAGTATGTGGAGGACATTCAATCGTGTGTCATCATAATCCTCATCCATCAATTGTCCATCGATTGTCCATCGATTTTTTCCCCAACCAAGAGAGACAGGTCACTGGTATTGGAGATACCAAAACAGTTTTCAAACAGTACGTATCTATGAGCGATCAGTAGTAATCAATCCACTTCATCCAATGCAACACTGTCACACTGCTGATGATCGAGTTCGATTGCGCCTTTGTATCCACTGATCCACACACGAATGGAACAGCACAGTACTCCGTACAGTACATATAGCTTCTCGTAGTACTTACACAGTAAGTAAAACACATTTATGTAAATTCACAGAGGTTAGTCGAGACGCCTGTCTGTCGGTTTGTCCTTTGTTATATCCCACGAAGAAAATTACAGCACATTGTCTGGTCACCTTCGAGACAAGACAAAAAAGGTTTGCAAACCCCCATAGACATTCAACTACCAAGAGCAGTAGCTCAGGATATGTATAACATGGGCCAAGCCTGAGCGACTCGTTGTGAGACTAATAATATACTACCTTAACCTGTCAGTCACCAAATTATAATCTAGTCCAACGGCAAGGTAGCAATTTGTTGTCTCCACCAGGGACTCAAAGTTGGGGAGAAAAAAAAAGTGGTAAGTACGGAACCATACCTACAATACCAGACCAGACCAACAGCACTTGCCCTTCCATTCCTTCTGCGTTTCCACTTTTCACCCAAGTACGCAAACAAGCAAACGCTCTCTCTCTCACAATACACAATCTCAAGTCACTTTTTCCCCTGATAAATAAATAACACATACTAAAATCGCAGTTCAATGTGTCCCTCCCTTCCTGCTTCCCTCCCTGTTTATCTGTCTGTCTCTAAGCTGTCATTTTCGTTTCTTCCTCCCTCCCCCTCATCCTACCCTGTCTTGGGCATTGCGTACCTCGTACCCTGAGGAATGATAACACGCGCGGCGTTGATTTCGCATACCTTAAGAGACTAGAAGTGCCGGTACAACTCGGATTACCATTGCGAAACCACACCTTGACCGCTGCCACTAAGAATAATCAATCGGTCCTACTACCACCACTACTACTAAGTTACTACTAACTTTACTGCTACTGATACTACTACAACTACAACAATTACGACTACGACTCCGACTACGACTACGACTGCTGCTGCTGCTACCACAACGACAACCACGACAACCACGACAACCACGACCATCCCTTCACCTACATCTTCACCTCCCTTCTTTAACTTACTCACCATCCCGCAACTGATTAGCAACTGAATATCACTCCACATCAGCAAACAACGACTACCACCTCCTTTCCTCCCCCTCCTCAACCACGCAACATCAGCACTCTCGTCCACCTTCATCTATCCTTTCTCTCACCCCTCTTCCGCCCATCCATCCGCCCATCCATCACTAAATTTGTCTCCCCGCCCCCCTCCCCCTTGCAACTTGTTTGACTTTGGCTCAATCTTCTCCACTCACAGGAGGAAGAGGAGGGCCCCAGCATCCGAAATACATCTTGCTCTTCTCCTCCCCTACTTCTCTCAGAAGGAAAATAAAAAAGAGAAAAGTGGAAGACAGTAATTCGGCACCAGGCTTGACCGTGGTCTTCCGTCACTGATATATCACTACGACACCGATATATTACCGTCTTCTCCGTCTTTTGACTCGTGGTTCACGGACCGTGTCCACTGCAAGCTGCGCAAGGATTTGTGACTTGCCGTGGCGGTGTCACCCTCGATCTCATACATCTGGTCTGCTCCACTGGTGAAGAGAACTTCTGGGGATTCTCACCTCATTGGCCCGGTCGAGTGTACTTTTCGTTTGATTGTCTACTTAAGTGGCCTTTATCCGTACTCACGACTGTTTATTTCCGGTGGTGGTTGCGGTGTATAAGGAGCAGCCAAAGTTGATCACGGCCCCATATTCTCATTTTCCCCTACCTTAAGCTGGACAGCCACTCGTCGCTACTGTCCAGACTCTTAAAGGTAGACGCAACACCCGCACCATGCCAGCTCCCTTAGTCAAGGTCATGCACAGGATGCAAGAACTCTTCACCAACATTGTTGCAGCCCTGGAGGCAATGCTTCTGTTCCCATCTCTCTTCCGCGACTCCTCCCGCAAGCGGCGGAAAGCTTTTCAGAGAGCTTATTGGGGACGCCGGACGCTGGATGATTTTGCGAATGAGATTGATCGTCTGCTCTCGGCACCTTTGTCTGTGCAAAACATGATCACAATGTCAGACAAGATTCGCGCGCAGTTCAAGTCCTGTCTTCAAGCCAGCCCAGTATGCATGCTGCCATCCTATAACCATGCTCTACCTTCAGGAGCAGAGAAGGGAACGTACCTGGCGCTGGATGTGGGAGGCTCCACACTTCGTGTAGCCTTGGTGGAACTACGTGGTCACGGGGTCATGCGCACCCTCCATGTGTCTTCTTCGTCAATTGATAATGAGGTCAAATTGCTAGAAGGAACGATGTTCTTCGACTGGATGGCAACAAAGATCGACGCCATGTTACAAGAGGTAGGCTCAAATTATGGCCGGGGGAATACCCCACTTTCCATGGGCTTGTCCTGGTCGTTTCCGATTGAACAAACATCCATCAGCAGCGGTTTGGTAATACATATGGGCAAGGGGTTTCATTGCTCTAATGGCACCGTTGGGCAGGAGCTCGGCAATTTAATTGTCCAATCCTGCAGAGCGCGTGGCCTGAACATTGAAGTGGATGCTATCGTGAATGACAGCTCCGCAACCCTGCTGTCTCACGCTTATGTGGATCCGGCGACTCGCATGTCCCTCATTTTGGGGACCGGAACGAATGTGGCGATTCATTTTCCTGTGCACCAGATCGGATTGACCAAGTTCGGCACCAGACCTCCAGGTTGGTTTGATTACGCGAAACACGTTATCATCAACAGCGAGATGAGTATGTTTGGTGGCGGAATATTACCTATGTCCCGGTGGGACGAGGTCCTGAACAGCACCCATCTTCGACCTGACTATCAGCCTCTGGAGTATATGATTACTGGCCGCTACCTCGGCGAAATCATTCGGCTTATTATCGTCGAAGCAGTGGAGACAGCGCAGCTGTTTGGCGGCAATCTTCCTCACTCAATGCGCGACGCTTACTCGTTTGACACTAGTATCATTGCTTGCATAGAAGCTGATACATCAACTAGCTTAGCCTCATCGACAAACATCTTGCAGAAGGAACACACGTTTGCCACACCTCCGTCGGTGGAGGAAATGAGATTTCTCCAGCGTGTCTGCCAGATCGTCTCGAACCGAGCCGCAGGATATCTTGCGACAGCAATCCATAGCATGTGGTGCTTGCGTAATGAGGCAGAGTACCCGGAACTCAGCACTCCCGCAACCGCATTCCTCAAAGAGACGCAGGAGGTGACTGTGGTTGAGAGTGAAGGTAGCCCACTAAGTTTGTCGATCGCCTGCGATGGTAGTGTCATCAACAAGTATCCCGGGTTCAGAGATCGTTGTCAACTCTATCTGAACGAACTTGTCAAGGAGACGCGCACTTTGCAACTGCCTTCCATTCCGTCGGCGGAACCTTACATCCGCCTTGATCCTGCTCCAGATAGTGCCATTGCTGGAGCCGCAGTCGCTGTAGCCGTGGCTGTCGCGGAGAAAAAACCAGAGTAGTCTTCAGAGGGGACCTGGTCTGGTGAGCGAAGGTGCCTGCGCTATGCATTATGAATTGCTCATTTCAACAATCACCCGGCCTTATGCCAACCTTCTTTGCATTCAAGGTGTTTTCTGCTCTCCGCGGGCGCCGTTGTGTCTGTTGCATTTTCGAATGTGGGCAATTGAACGATCGGTTGCCTCATTACCTGCTCCTTGCTTTGGGTGATTCACTGCCCATGCCATCATCAGGGCTGTATTTCTAATCTAGGGTTCGTTTCCATTGCATATAAGGGATTAATAATCATGCGCAGCATCTTTGAATACCAAGCGGCCAACAAGATAGATGGTTGAGGGGTTTTTATCCATACACTTTGGATGTACATAATCATAGTTAGCGGTACAAGAACTGTGTGATGCCCCACGGCCCCCTCGGACATATACAACGCCTTGGCTTGTCCTGATCTTCAGGGACTGTTTTTCTCAACTCAAGATCCAGACAGGCCTCGCTGTACGAAAGTGGCTACAACAGACCGCGGATTGTGACAGTAACACGTGCACACACATGACAATAGGCCACAATTGATTACAGCATCTGCACGTATTGTTCTGGGAGGCAGATGAATTACTGCTCCCCACAAAGATCCAATAACAACTCCAGAATCCGCCGCTGCAACTGCAACAAATCTTGCCTGCTAATGAGTGTCTCTTTCTGGCCGCCAAACGGATTCACTACAGTCTCGGACTTGGCATCAGCGGTCAGCACCAGGTCTTTTCGGATATTGAAGAATGGAATCCCTAATCCACGCAGCTCCGCAATCATGGCATCAGCCATCTGCCTCGAAGCTCTGTAGACCTTCGCATCGTAGTTAGTCAGCTCGGCTTGATCTTCTTCGGCTGTCTGTTAGTCAAGTGCCACGAAGGCGCATTAGTCCAGTCAGATAAAACCCAGTTCTGCTTGCGTATCCGCGTCGTGTCTTTTTTGTCTTCAAGCCATCACGATAACGCCACCAGCGCAGTACGTACCGAAATTGATTTGTTATTGTCAACTGGCGCACCGACAGAGCGTCTAGTTGGTCGAGAGTCAGAGAGAAACGATCTCCAGATAGTACCTGACCCGCTCCTTATTTCCCTTTTGTTTCTGGACCGAGGCAAACTGCATCGACCACGGAACATAGAACGACATGGCTTTCCTAGCGACTGTTGGATTCCACTCACAGCACAGCATCGAGCTCCTTTTTCTTCTCCGTTCGCGCTTGCTGCTTCTTCACCAAAGCTTCCCGACCCTGCCACCACTGTTTTTCGTGGTCGTGCTGGCGGCGGATTAACCATCGGATGCGGCTTTGGAGGTTCTCATTCTGGGACACTGTGCGCATGACGTGGCGGAGAGCGGCATTCCAAGTGGTTATGGATGAAGGATCACCACCCGTTGTGCTGTTTTGAGTTGTCTGGGCTCGCGGAGGGTGGGTATAACTGGGATTTGGAGAGGGCAAAGCCTTCTTCTGCTGCGCTTGCTGCTGCGCTTGCTGCTGGTGCGTCACGGGAACCGAGGGGAGGGTTTCTGATGGTTCGTATGGATCATTATCTTCGGGGTCATCGGGATGATGTGCCTGAGAGTCAGTGGGCGGGACAATGTCAGAAGATGAAGCTGGGGATTGTTGGTTGGATAGCGCAGAGAGGGTTCGCAGAACAGATGTCAGATCGGCTGAGTTGTAGTCCATTGTTTCTTGAGGGGAAGGAGGTATTTATTTCGCAGCCGAATTAAGTAGGTAGTGGTGGGAGGTATTACGCGCGATTTGAAATTTCCTGGGAGAATATCAATATACTATAGATATACTGAATGAAGAACATGGATGGCGGTTGTCGTTGCTGTAGGTTTGAAGAATGAACCTTAAGAGTTGAGCCGAAGTGGTGGTCGATGGGGGAGGGGGGGCTCGCAGGCTCTCTTTTCTTAGTGTTGCTCTGCTCTTCTTGTTCAATGCAATCGACCTCTTCATTTCCTCCGCTGAAAATTTCCCCGACCCCAACCAAACCTCCGTTTCTTCCACGATCCGCTCTCCATCTGTCTTCAGGGCTTCAGGTTACCGGAGAGGAACATTTATGCTGGATTTAGCCTATTGATATTGAACATTTATTGGTTTCGCTCGATTGCCTCCTCCTCCTCCCTCCCCCCACCACCACCTATTCTCGAACGACCGAGTCCGGCTTGAGGTCATACCATCATCCATCCATCCATTATCCCCACGCTCCATCCCGCCGCCTCCTTCCCTCCTACCCTCAGTACACCTCTTCCTTTCGCTTGTATCTTCATCAATCCTGATCGGCACATCGACGACTGGCATAATGTCTCGATCCGCCGCCGATGCGACCCGTTTCACGGCCACAGGGCCTTACGCCCACTCGAAGCCTGGTTCCGCGGCTCCGTACAAGCTTCCCGGCTTCATGGCCAATGCAGCTCAACAGCAACAGGGTGGACAGCCCGGAGGCAAACCCGAGACTCCTAAGGAGAAGGTCGAGCGATTGCGAGCACAAGCCCGTGCTGCCCGGTTAGCCCAGTCGACGTCGCGCGTGGATCAGATGATCGACTTTGGCCGTCGATTCGCCAACAAGGCCCACAAGACCATGGTTTATACTCTTATTGCTGCATCGGGTATGTTGAACCGCCTTTCCTCCTCGAGCATGCATTTGAGCAGAAGTTCGCACTTAATGCCAAGCTTGCTGCGGGGGAGCTGTTCCCTCTGCGCTCCCTCTCTCCCTGGCCCCTTCTACTTCGTGATAGGCGACAAATATCTATGAACCTCACCCAGCGACTGACCGTAGAGCGAAACAGGCGTTTGCGGAGCCCTCACCGTGTATTCCATTGTGTCTCTCTCTTTATACAACCGCCGTCAGCGAACACTGTGGATCGAGAAGGAGCTACAGACCCTACAGGACGCCAAGGTGGCCTACGTCAACGGAACCGCCACGCCGGAACAGCTGGAATTGCTGAAGAACGAGAAGATTGCCGAGATCTACCAACGAAAGAAAGACGAGGAGCGGCAGCAGCGCCCTTGGAACAAGGCGAAGCAGTACTTATTTGGGGGCTTGAAGGCGGACGAGACCCCCGCCGAGGCAAACCCCAACCCCATCCCCGAGAGCCTTGTCGCGGAGGACAAGCCTCGCGTCCTTGAAGCCATCAATGCCGCGAAGGCGTCCGGTGAGATTGTCGCTCCCGCACAGCAGGGCCAGCTGGACACCCTGGCGGCCAATGCCGAGGATGCTGCTAAGCAGACGACGCGAAGCTGGAAGAGCTGGCTCACTGGAAGGTGAAAGGACGACGTACGGAAATCAAGGAAAATACAGGGAAACTCACATGGCGCGCGGGGAGAGAGCAAAGCTTTCTCATACTGTCTGCTCGCAGCATCTCCCCCCGGAAGACCCCTGTTTCATGTTTCGCATGGCATTTTGTCGTCTCTTCCTTCCTCTCTTCTACCACATTTGGGGTTGTGGCGTATCCTGCTTTTTCTCTTCTGGGTGTGTGAACGTGTGTGCGCGCTTCGCCGAGATGTACCAATCTATGTGCTGTTATTCTATTTGCGAGACCTGCGCAAGTCTCAAGTGTGGTTTTGCCATATCGATGTACATATACATATATTCCTATTATTTTCTTTTTTCCCTTGATGATCTTACTACATTGGCTACTTATTTGCAGATGCTAAGCTAATTCGACACTAGCATCCGCCGAGCTGCTGTGTGAACTATGGAGATTTCAATGATTCAACTGTACGTTTCAAATTGCGTGCGAAACTTTGGATAATTGGATGTAAACCCGAACCAATCGCAGAGGACGTAAGATAATCATGCCAAACTTTTGATACTACCATGAATCAAGACCCTGAAACCAAGCTACCAAGGGCCACTGACGCGAGCACACAACACCCAATATGTGGACAAGTAAGTGGAAAGAAAACAAAACGAAGAGAATCATTATCGTCACCGGATTAAAGGCAGGAAAAATCAGAGCGCCCTGGCTATGGTATATAAATCAGACCATCTCGAATAAACAGAAGGGAAACCGTCACGCCTGAACTGTCGAAACAGTCGTGATAGCTTATTCGGCAGCAACCTTAGCCTTGGCGGCACGTCTGGCACGAACTGCATCTGCCAAGTCTTCCAAAACAGTGACCGTGGTCTCCCAGTCGATGCAAGCGTCCGTGATACTGACACCCTTGCGCAAGCCGGAGGGACCCTCGGGAGGGACCTTCTGGTTACCCTCGTTAATATTGGACTCGATCATAACACCGATGATAGCATCCTGGCCCTCGCGGAGCTGGTCACCAACTTCCTTTGCGACCAAGGGCTGGTTGCGGTGGTTCTTGTTGGAGTTACCGTGAGAGCAGTCAACCATGACAGCCTCGCGCTGCTTCTTGCCATGGAGGGCCTCACGGGCAGCCTTAATGCTTTCGCGGTCGTAGTTGGTACCCTTGTTGCCTCCACGAAGGATAACAAAACCGTGTTCGTTACCGGAAGTCTTTGTGATGGCAGCCAGACCCTGCTTGGTGACACCCAAGAAGCGGTGGGGGTGGGCGGCGGCGCCAATGGCGTCAATGGCCACGGTCAGGTTGCCGTCGGTGCCGTTCTTGTAGCCGATGGGGAAACTGAGACCAGAGGCGAGCTCACGGTGCAGCTGGGACTCGGTGGTACGGGCGCCGATGGCACCGAGAGAGATGAGATCCGCAAGGTACTGGGGGGAGATGGTGTCCAGCATCTCGCTGGCAATAGGCAAGCCCATGCTAGTCAGGTCTGCGTAAAGACGGCGGGAGACACGAAGACCCTTGTTGATGTTGTAGGTCTCGTCAATATCCGGATCGTTGATCAACCCTTTCCAACCGACAGTGGTGCGAGGCTTCTCCAGGTAAGCACGCATGATGACGCAGAGGTCGCCGGAGAGCTTCTCAGACAGCTCCTTGAGGCGGCGGGCATACTCCAAAGCCGTCTCAGGGTCATGAATGGAGCAGGGGCCAACAACCACGAGCAGGCGGTCATCGCGCTGCTCGATGATCTCAATTGCCTGGTTGCGGCCGGCACGGACGGCCTCTAATGCGCGCGCGGGCTAGGACAATGGTCAGTTTTATATCATTCAAGAGGTTTAGCAGGTTGACGGAGAGCGAAAGGTAGTCTGGTTTCATGATGTGGCCCCACGGTGGCTCACAATGGCCGAGAAAGTGGTGCGGAAGTGGTGCGGAAGTGGTATGACTCACAGCAGGGATCTCAGTCTGCAGAAACTGGGGGGAGAGAAGGGGATCATATCCCAAGACTACGAGGGCGCAATGGTTAGCTGAGAACGATCTCGGCCGCGCTTATGATGCCATTGTAAACTCACCACGAGTGTCCTCGCTGACTTCGGTGGTGCTGATCAAAGGCATTGTGGTGTAGGGAGACACGCAGAATGTGCTGGGAAAAAATATGGATGTAGCTCTTTGTGGTATACCCGAGGAGGGGTAATGAACAATGAATGAACAAGTGGAAGTAGACTTTAAGCTCTCAAGTTCTGTTGAATTGATTGGAAATTAAAAAAGAGGCTAGAAGCCGGCCAAGGTAGCGAGAAAATGAGGAGTTAAGTGATTGACGAGATGGGGGGAGGGCGAGAAAGAGGGAAGAAAAAACAGAATCAAATTGCAGATTGGCAAGCGGAGTTCAAGTTTAGAAAGAAGAAGAAGATGGATGGATGGATGGAGGAACAAGACGGGGATTGCACCGAGTGGGCCCCGCGATCGGACTGATTCACACAAATGAAAAATTAGGAGCCTCGATTAAGGTTGTATGGCAGGAGAGGCACCAAACCGTATTGACTGTAATGTCCGTGAAACAATACCACACTCTTCCCTCCACTCTTCCCTCGACTGGTGTATCACCACCATCATCATACAGTAATGTATGTACATATTGAGAGTCCAGAGTCCACAGTCCACAGTCCGGACTCCGTAGAGGCTCCGCGCAGATATCACACCTATTCCGGACAGACCTTAAGTTGTTGGGCTAGGATACGCTCCGACCTGCGGCCAAATGCACTACAACCGGGGTGAGATGGTGACGTCCTCCGTGTTGCGGTCAGCTCAGTAGGTATGCGCATAGCTGAACCTCACCTGCCAGTGGTGACACCAGAGAGGTTGATCTCGCACAGATCCGAGGCAATCGCGACTCAGCCCTCCCCGGCAGCACTTTGGTGCTGCGTTCCATAGCTGGTCGCTGATGCGCATGGTGTTTTCTCACCGCTAGACTGAAACGTGCCGAACTTGAGGCACTGACAGATCGACCGCCTCGTTGTCAGTCCCTCCTGCAGACGTAGTACAGCAGGAAGCGTGGTCTCGGTGTCCTGGCTCACAGAACTGGGGGTGCTGCCAATGATAATGGATCAAGGCCACACACGTGCCGCAGACACTTATCTCAGCAGGGAACCAGCCAGCTGGCCTTCGAGATACCATAATTCTGCATCAGGCAGAAGAACTCATCCTGATATACCGCTGCATAGAGAGTCGATATCTCAATCTAAATCATGATGGACTGACCTCACCCCACATGACTTCGACCAGCCAACTGTCGGTGTAGTGTTGATTGCCTGAACTGGAACCTATCAAGGTTGCCTTATGACAATATAAATCACTCTACCAGTACGCATCCTAAGACTTTGTTTACCGGAAGAGGTCATGCTCCCCTTCGATGCAAGCGACCTGGCTCAATTTCGAAGGTGTCGCAGGGCTTCAGTATTGAGCTGCAAGGTGCAGTCCATGCTCCATCCGTCCAACCATTGTGAATCTATGAAATATGCCGAAGCAGATTCGTATAGATTCTTCCGGAGCTACCAAACAGCCTCTTCCTCGATCTTTAAGGCAACCAGTTTGTGTAGACTATCACTGGTAGATCAAGTTGGATGTGTCAGACTACTTGGGTCACATAAACGGAGAGTCAGCGTTCAGCACTGCTGACGGTCACCTGGTCAGGGCCATACCACAAGGCAGGTCTGCAAGCCACGGACTGAGCTGGGAGCTTGCTCGGTCACAGGCACACAAATACAGGTGCTTTGAAATTACCCATACTCGAAATCTACCAAGCGGCCCACGACGGCAGGTTCCGTGTGGACCTGGGGATAGTTTAACGGCTGCATATCCTCCACAGTCCCCATGCAACTGACAACCAGGGGTAAGGCAATAAGCTTCCTCCAGAGTGGGCTGGAGATTGGTGGTCGACGAATGAATCAGAGTACTGATGATGCTAGCGAGTAGAATTATTAGTGGGTCAAGAGGAGGGGAGAACTCTTTTTTTGCTGTTGAGAAATGATTGAGAGGTGTGTCCAGGAGAAGAGAAGGGGAGAATCAAAGGTGTGGTGCGCGCATTTACTGGGGCCGGAGTAGTGTTTTGGGGAATTTTGGGGGAATTGCTAGCGTGTAAGCGTTTTGCCGGAGAGGAAGGGAAGAACGCTTCTCCCGCATGCAGGAAAAAGCGGCCAATCCCGCATGGTTATCTCTAAACCCAGTGGATACCTTTCGGTGAGCGATAGTCTAATAATCCATAGGAAGATCGATGTTTCGAAATCTAAGTTAGGTTCCAGAGTTGTAGATTGACTTTTCCCTCCAAAAGTGTTCGTTATATCAATGTGCTGGTGGGGGCTCGTTTGCCTTTGAATGCCTTATTGATTCTCGTCCCTCGTCCTCATTCATGGGAGAACCTCCTCTCCTTTCCAATCCCAACATCGACCTCGCCCGTCATTGTTGCCGGGCCTCATTGTACACAAGAATTGAAGTAGCTTATTAGCAGAGTCGAGAGGCTGTAACATGTTTCGTCCATCCCAGTATTCCTTCGTGAAGTCCGTCTGGACGGTACCGGGGTGCATCGCTACCGCTAATGCCCGGTCATTGCTCCGAGTGCGTAGATATAAGTCAAAGGTTTTCGCTATTTGGAAAACAGATGCCTTACAGGCACGATACGAGTACCAGCCTCCAGTTGCGTTGTCCGAAATTGAGCCTACTCGCGCAGCCATCATGGCGTATATGGCATGTGATGGGAGTTTCCAAGAGCAATCGTCCTCTCGAGGCTTTGGGTCTACCAGAAAGGGCTTCGAAGACTTGGTAGGCAAAAAGGGTGCCAGGTGCTTCATCAGCAGCATGGGGCCGAGAGCGTTGACCTTGTAGCTATTTAGAGCGCTGGCAGCATCAATTTGCGATGGTGATTTTTCGACGTGTAGGATTCCAGGAACGGTGATAGCTATACGGAGAGCAGCGTCTGGATACTCTCGTCGAATATGTGAGGCCATTGCTTGAATGGTTGATTCATCTGATAGAGTGTTCAGCAGGAGGACAAGCAAAGATTGAGGTTTGGCCAAGTGAAGAGCTTCGTACCAGTCACGTCCATTTGCAAAACCCTCAGTCGCTCTCTTGGGTCATCAGATCGGCTCTTGACTGCTTTTAACAGGCTATCTTGGACTTCATCACATTCCCTTCTCGCAGTTGCGATGACGGGTAGGTTCGTGTGAGACAGCAGCTGTTGGGCAAAGGCGAATCCCAGTCCTTTCGAGGCAGGAGCCACGAGGGCGAACCCGCTACCTGGAGATACCATTGATTGCTGAGCTAGGCTTGCGAAGTAAGATCGATCTATTGGGCTTAAAGAAGGATGGGAGCTCAACTGTCGAGGAAACTCCATTCACAGGAATGATTCGAGCAACCATGACTGGACAAGAGTGACATCATCGATCATTGATACTCTGAGATACCCATCCTGTATCTTGATACTCGTACAGAGATCAGAGCAGGCAACATCATAGGTAAGCCTTTATGTGCGCGGTCATTGCAGTGGCATGCTATGACCATTGAAGGAAGAACTCATCACCACTTTAGTTAAACACTTCAGACTGGGCGTCTCACTCACGATGATGTTCCTTAGGTTGGTTTGGTAACAGCTTAAATGTTCAACTGGTATTCGCTGTGTAATGGTGCTCGAATGCGGGTGTATCGTGGTGTATTAGGTATTTTTTTCCGTCGGAGGAATTCTAAAGTGCCTAATAGTTACTAGCGTAGTAGTAAGCAAAGCAAATAACCTGCGAAATCTCATTGGAAGGTTGTCCAATATGTGGCCTGAGGCTTCCATCGCTCTAGTTCTGGACTTTCCCTTTGCTCTGGCAACTTGAACTGAGCTTAAGTTCAATGTTTCATGTTCCTACCCCGGGTTTTGATGCATCCTTGGCCAACACCATCTTCTATAGACCGGTGAATACATGAGCAGTCAAACAAATGGTGTTTGAACTCGCCTCGATATAGCTCCTGCAACTGCTCGGGCACTTGGAATCCATTTTCCAATGTACCGAACTCCCATCTGTCGATAAAAACAGGGGGCCCCAGTCACTTTTCACATTGTCATTGCCATACTTTAATGGGTGAACTCGCCTCCAGTTCGCTCGCTTCCTCACTCGCTGTCTTGCAGTACTGCTGCCGATTTAGACATGATCACTTATACCCCCAAGCGTCCGCGAGAGAAGGAGGACCATGAGCCCGATGGAATCACAAGTCATGGAAAAAAGGTACGCCTGTAGCTGAAGTCCGCAGGAAACCGTGATGTAGTGCTCACAACAGTCAAACAGAAACATCGCTCTTTACCTCTACGTGCCTCTTCCCAAACAAATAGCAGTTTCCCGTTCTTGAAAAGTGACCAGAATGCCCCACAAGTCGGCGTGTCGAGTCTGACCCCAGCGGAGTCCTCGGAGGACGATAATGATCATGGACATCGTGGTGACAACCCTCGCAGCTGCTTAATGGAAGCAGAGTATCAGCAGGCCCAATCTGTGCTTTCAGCCGCTCGGTATGGCACGGAAATGGACGTTGACAACGGCAACAATGTCGGTGTGGATTTTGTTGACGAGAGCTGCAATGACCGCTCACAACAATCCCCAATACCACCCAGAGTCATCTACCGCTCGCTCACAATAAGCGAGCAACAGACTACACGCCTTGCCCTTGAAACCTGCCCCTCTGCGGTCGATTCCACTGAGAACATGGAACATCGAAACGGTGCATATCGTACACGTCGCGATGCTTTGGATGACTTGTACAACGACCGCAATACAGCTTGGTGGCGTGATCAACATCTTCCCAGCCCCGTTAGTGACGGCGATGCCATGGCCATCAGTAGCAAAGATTCGGCTAGCGATGCGGATATGGCCTACACTATGTCGCGCCCGGCGTCCCCTTCTTCTGGACAGATGAGTGGCATGTATAAGAGCATGCGTGATTCAAACCCTTCGCCGGGTACTATTACAGGGGGTGAAACCAGCCCAAAGAAGTTGACATTCTCGATGGGCTACCGGTCTGATTGTGAGAAATGCCGACGCAAGGTCCCTGGTCACTACAGTCACATTATACGCTGTTGATATTTTTATGATACCCTAGGCTCACGGTGTTTCTCGATGTTCCTTGTTTTACGTTTCTTATTTTACACGTCAAATGTAGTGGTCGATACGGAGCACAACAGGCTGCTGTTATATAAAATTCCAGTAAAGAGTTGTGGATCTTGGTCACTCTCACAGAATGTAGATCTCCGCCTGCAGAGTCGAATCGTAGATCTATTTACCTACCTTACTATACTAGGTACTTTGATTTGCCTACCTATTTCGGAATGCATACTTCGGAGCTATGGCTACCAAGCACTGTCCGGTCATTTCCGACTTGGTGTTCCGATGAAGCTGACATAAGCATCCGGATCCGAACAAGACGGAACGGATTCAACTGGTTATTTGCCATCGGAAAGCAAACCGTATGTACCTAGTCGATAACAGATAAGGTAAGGTATATCTATGGGAAGTATCTGCTTGGGCAGGCGAGAACAGCATTAGATCACTCGAGATTGACCACCAAGAGAATAAACAATACGGAAGGAGAGGGGGTGGGGGTTCCCGTCCCTGGAATATATGTACTCGAGCACGCACAACACTTCGGCAAGGCATAGCCGTAATCAGATCCTCAGATTCCCCCCCCCTCCGCCTTTCCCCGCGGCTGTCCGCTTAGCCGATCTTCACTGCCGGCAATACGGTGGCTCCTCCAGAACGGCTCGTTCACCAGCAATGGATCCCGAGCCCCAGAATTTCCTACCATGGCGGCCCTTTCGTCAATAAGTATGCTAGCGCTCCCCAGTTTTCTCTTTTTTCCTGTCGGAATTGATACACGAGCTGCGACTTCTGCTCTAACGTGAAATCCTCCAAGCTTCTGATCCTCTGGTCATCATTCTTTTTGCAAAGGAACCCCTAGATCTACTTCACGATGGCCTCTCCGATTCCCCGGGGCCTGCGTCAGGTCCTCCAGAAGTCTCCCAATGACATTGTCATTCTCTCTTCTCTCCGTACGCCTGTAACCCGAGCGAAGAAAGGTGGCTTCAAGGATGCTTATCCCGAAGAGCTCCTTGCCAACGTGCTTCGTGCCACTCTTGAGGCGAACCCGAACCTTGACCCGGCCCTAATTGACGACGTCGCCATCGGTTCTGTTCTCCAGGAGCTCGGCGGTGCCAAAGCTGGCCGTATGGCTCAGATCCATGCCGGTTTCCCTAACACCGTCTCTTTCCATACTATCAACAGACAATGCTCGTCCGGCCTGGCTGCTATCTCCACTATTGCCAATGGAATCCGTGCCGGCGCAATTAACGTTGGTGTCGGTGGTGGAATGGAGTCCATGACCCGCAACTACGGTTCCCGCGCTATTCCCACTGTCCTCTGGCCTGAACTCAAGGATTCATACTCGAAGGATGCTCGGGATTGCATCATGCCGATGGGTATCACTTCGGAGAATGTCGCCGCTCGCTACGGAGTCTCCAGAGCAGACCAGGATGCCTTTGCCGCCGAGTCGCACAAGAAGGCAGCTGCGGCCCAAAACGCCGGCCTTTTTGACTCCGAGATTGTTTCTGTGAAGACCGTGTCCTACGACCCCGAGCACCCCGACGCTGCTCCCACCGAGATCACCGTCTCGAAGGACGATGGAATCCGCCACAACCTTTCAGTCGAAAAAATGGCTAGCTTGAAACCCGCCTTTTCTGCCGATGGTGCCAGCACTGCTGGAAACAGTTCTCAGGTCAGCGACGGTGCTGCTGCGGCCCTGCTGATGCGCCGCTCTACGGCTACTGAGCTCGGCTTGACCTCTTCCATCAGGGCTCGCTGGGTTGCCTCTGCTGTTGCTGGCTGCGCTCCCGACGAGATGGGTGTTGGCCCTGCCGTTGCCATTCCCAAGCTTCTGCAAATGCTGGATATGAATGTTTCCGACGTTAACATCTGGGAGATCAACGAGGCCTTCGCCTCCCAGGCTCTGTACTCTATTCGCAAGCTCGGAATTGACGAGTCCAAGGTCAATCCCAAGGGTGGTGCTATTGCCATCGGTCACCCTCTAGGTGCCACTGGTGCCAGACAATTGGCGACTCTTATTCCTGAGCTTGAGCGCACCGGCCAGGATGTCGGTGTTGTTAGTATGTGCATTGGAACTGGTATGGGTATGGCTGGCATGTTTGTCCGGGAGTGAAAGTGCGGAAAGTGAGGGTTGCATCATTCTGTACAGTTTTGTGTTTTTCTCTTTTACATTTTCATGATTTCAGCGTAGACGCATGTATATACACCCACAATTCATGAAGTTTTACTTTCCCATATCCTTTTTTCTTGCTTGTTCTTCACGACCGTAGAGTTTCTGGTGTGTACTTTACGGCAATTTACGTGGTTCAGCATGAGTATTCTTCCCGACGCCAAGCCCGGCGATTTGTCTCACGTGACAAACCGTCCGGAGTTCTTGAAACTTTTCCCAAGACTGGCCGAAGAGTCCCCGACAGCAATCCCGCAACGCTGCAGTCATGCGTCCCTCTGTGCGTCTGTTAAACTTGGAAGTGCCCTCTATCCAGGGGGCCCGATCTCTCTATGTCTGCTCAGTCTGCAGACATGAAGCGCGTCCCCGTCCGATTGTCGCCCGCCAATTCTTGCGCAACGCCTCCAACGCGAACTCGCTGACCGAGAAGGTGCGCCGCAAGATCTGGGGCACCGACAACCCCCCCGGTCTTAAAGACCCCTATGGCGGTGAGGGTGCTCTTGAGCGGAAATTCAAAAGCAAGCAAGCTCCGACGGTAGTAGAAGAAGAGACACCTGAAGCTTCGCAGGCGCTTGACACCGCTGCAGACGAGGACGCTGCTCCCGCTGCAGACGACTACGAGCCGGCGACAACATGGGAGGGTCTCGATCGCGTCGGCCACCTCGGTCGGTGGTCTGACCTTCCTCCTGCGCCGACTGACGCATACAAGTCGTAAGTGGTCCTCTGGCTGTCCAGGCATCCCGCTTGTATTCATCTGGGAAGCGAAACCCTTCTGTATAGTTCTTCAGTGGGCTCTGTGCAGTTGTCTAATGAGTCTTTCTTAACACAGGTTCCAGTACAAGAAGAAGATTACTAAGAAGGGCTTACTCTCAATTGCGGCTCACCAGGCTGTCGTCGAGCTCTGCCTCATGCACCAGCTGGGTAAGCCCTTGACGAGCATCTGTGATGTCGAGGAGCACGATCAGTCGGTTTTCAAGTTAATCTGGAAGACCAAGGTTGTACCGACCTCGGATGGACAATGGAATGCGGCACTGGAGTATCCCAACAAAGAGGCTGAGGAGGCTCTTGTCTATGTTTTTGAGCAAATCGGTGGCCAAAAGGTCGCTCCTGAAACGGAGGAAGCGTCGCAGGATGTTGAAGAGGCAGAAGAAGCGACAAACGACTTGACAGACATCCTCGGCACTGACGAGACCAAGCAACCTTTCTTTGGTTATCAAACTATTCGTGACAATGGTTTCTTGTCTCTGTCGCTGAATGATCCGGCCACGAAGTTTGCTGTCAGTCTCCGTTCCCCCTTCGCCCTTCACAGGGCAGTCAATCTGTCGCAGTTGCTGACTCAGTTCGCAATTTAGTTCTTGAAGAGATTCTCCCAATTGACTGGCCACTTCTTCCCTGACCCTGCTGTTCATTCGATCGCCACTGTTCAGCAGGTCGTTGACCACGTTCAGCAAGTCGTGAAGCCGAAGCCGAAAAAACTGGCTGATTACCTCGCCAATAATCAGCGGTACTCAAACATGCCCAATATCAAAGTCTTCGCCAAGAGACAGAAGCGTTCTGACAGGGATGAAGAATTGGGCCGCAAGAAGCTCATTGAAGCCGAGCTTCGCGCCAGAGGTCTTATTGAATAGACTGCTACGATGGTGGATTTGGGGTAGGTCCCCGAGGTTTAAGTTTCTAGTTCTTGTAGCATGTTATTTGTTAAACCCTTGCTGTACAATAGGAAGCAATGTTTTGTTCGTTCGAATATCATTGAAAGTATCAGTACAAAAATTCAAATCTATCATATAAAGAAATTGGGGTAATGAGCTAGGTCCTATGCTTTGCCGAACTTCCACCGAGAAACCAATCCTTGAAACGCCAGTTTTGTGACATAAATGAGCAGAATGCAAGAAGGAGGTATTCAAGCTCGGTGCCTAGAATTTGCAGGGAGGGTAAAACCTCGGGTCATGAAGTCAGTATTCTTTGACATTCCATCTTTATCGGATTCCTTCGTGAAGAGACTGCTCAGGTTGTCATTATGTCCCATCAGCTTGCGTCGCTTTTTCTTCTCATTCTCCTCCTCAAGTACACGAGCAGTTAGCATGGCGGTGGCTGCATTCTTGATCCCACTGGGAACATTTGAAGTAGGCGTGGACGTGTTGCTACGGCTAGCAGTGGCAGATTCTTCCCTCGTGCGCAAGGCTGACGATGACACTGGCTTTGACTCTTTTCCCGGCTTGACCTCTGACTCGGTACTGGCGAGAGCAGCGACAGCATCGCCGTTGGCGTGCTTCTTGCGCTTCTTCGAACCAGGCGCCTTCTTCAAAGAATGTGTCAATCCTTGCTCAGCTAGCTTCTGGCTTCGCTCAATCAGCTGTTGCTTATCCGACTCTTTCGCCGGGAGTATGGTTATCACATTGTCGATTGTGTAAGGTTCGTCGCACTAAATGCACGCCTGTTAGCGTCACGCAATCATCGGTGCAGTAGCGGGTCGTAAGCACCTGTAAGCACCTCTCGCCCTTCAGCTGACGGATCGCTTCTTCGGAGAAGACATGTCCGCAAGGAACAAGGTAGACGGATTTGACATTCGGGCCCAACTGCTTGGCGGTGACTGGACAGATCCAGCCCTCGCGCTTCTCGTGCTTCCCAGATGGATGTCCGCCGTGCTCGGTGTCAACTTCAAACTTCAGCTCCACAACGTCACGGAGACCCTTCACACGGCCACAGAGAAACTCATCGCAGTCGGCTTTCGAGCTGATACCCTCGGCTTCATCTCCCGGTAACAGATATCGTAGGACGGAGTCTTTGTTAAAGAGGTTTCCGACGCAGTCGGAGACGATAGGTCGCATTAACTGCTTATGCGACAGTGGACATGTGTTCCAGAAGTGTTCCTGCAATTCGCGCTGGGTTTCTTTCAATTGCGCCGTGCTGGGATTCCGGGCGGCTTCGCGAACGAGCTCGCGGCGAGTGGGGATGCTGAAGACCGGGGAATTAGTGACTTTGCACACCACAGAACCCGAAGATTTAGTCCTTTACCTTCCACCATCATTACCCATTTTCTTTTGTTTGTTTGCTTTTGACGCCCGACAAGACAGAAAATGGTAAAAGTTGATCCCAAAGTGCTGGAGAAAGATGCTCCCGCTGGGTGACGCCCGGTCGCCACTTTAGATCGGGACTGATTGAATTGATAAGGGGCTGACTAAGACGCTCTGGGCGTCTCCCCGGATTGCTCGATAGAGACGCTCGTTATCAACAGCTGGCCAGAAGCTCTCTCCGCATTTTCTGTTTTATTGAACTCTTCCTACGGTGACTGGACGTCCGCTTCCGGTCGCAATAGTGGTTGGCGAGTCAAGCTCAAGGCTGCCCGCCATGATACTTCCTCAGGGATCGCTTTTCTTTGCGAGCATAGCTGCATGCTCGACCGTGGTAGCTGCTGCGGGTGATGCCTCGTCTCGACCCCGGGGAGTCGGACCCGAGTGTGAGTGTAACTCTTCTCTGCTGCTGTTCTCTGCGATCACTTGAGCTTGATGCATCCGCTCAGTCTCTGATGCCACTTCCCTTGCCATCTTCATTTGATTTCCCTGGCCGATCTACTACGTTCCATGAACCAAGCTCCCTCGGACGCACCCGAATAAACTAACACAATTGGTTGGATTTAACAGTCGCAAAGTTCTACAAGGACACCACAACATTCACCTGTATCTCCCATCCATCGATTCAGATCCCATTCTCCGCAGTAAACGATGACTACTGTGACTGCCCCGATGGTAGTGATGAACCCGGCACGTCGGCCTGCGCTCATCTTTCCCGCAACTCGGCATTGACAGTGGCCGACCGGCCGGGGAACAGCGACCTCGAACTCGTCCCTGCCCTTCCGGGTTTCTACTGCAAAAACAAAGGCCACAAGCCATCCTACGTTCCGTCACAACGAGTCAATGATGGTATCTGCGACTACGCACTTTGCTGTGATGGGAGCGATGAGTGGGCACGGGTCGGCGGCACCAAGTGTGAGGACAAGTGCAAGGAGATTGGGAAAGAGTGGCGTAAGAAGGAAGAGAAGAGGCAGAAATCCCTGACGGCCGCCCTCAAGAAGAAGCGCGACCTGCTTGTGGATGCGGGCAGGCAACAGAAGGAGGTTGAGGACCAGATCAAGAATCTGGAGGTGGAAATCCAGGCCCAGGAGATCAAGGTCAAAGATCTCCAGGCCCAGTTGGAGAAGGCCGAGCAGGAAGAGAAGAGCAAGGTAGTCAGGGGTAAGAAGGCTGGCAAGGTCAATGTCCTGGCCCAATTGGCCAGGGGTCGAGTCGAAGAGCTTCGGGACGCACTAGTGAACATCCGCAAGGAAAGGGACGATACCCGCGCACGGGTGAAGGAGCTAGAGGAAATCCTATCCAAGTTCAAGGTAGAGTACAATCCTAACTTCAACGACGAGGGTGTCAAGCGTGCTGTGCGCAGTTGGGAAGATTATGCCGTCAGGGGAACCCTTGAGAGTGCCACGAGCGCTGCCCAGGACAATGATTTGGACGAACTGGTCAAGCCAGACGATGCCCAATCTGGAATCAATTGGGAGCAATGGGAGAACGAAGACGAGGGCTGTGAGACTGACTCTGGTAAGTACACTCACTGCGATGGCAGCCTTGCCTTAGGTTTTAGTTGATGTTGACCGTGAGTAGCCCTAATCTATCAACTGGCAGCTTATTTGCCTCCTTCACTGGTTGAGTTCATCGAGACTAAAGTGGTCTCTGTCCGGGGTTTCCTTGAGGAGAACGGTATAGTGCCCAAGAAGGACGAACCTACGACGTCCGAATCCAAGGTCGTGTCAGACGCTCGGGATGCTGTCAAGTCGGCTGAGAAGAGCCTTGAAGACTCGCGGAGACAGTTGGAGACCCACAAATCCGACCTTGAGACAGACTATGGTCTTGCATCCATCTTCCGTGCATTGAAGGGAGTATGCATCTCGAAGGACTTTGGTGAATATACGTACGAGCACTGCTTCCTAGATCAAACCAAACAAATTCCCAAGAAAGGCGGTGGCTCGATGCGGATGGGCAAGTACTCTGGCATTGGGTCTGTTAGTGTGGACGTGCTCGACGAGTCTGGAGATATTATCCCAGAGGAGAAGGTCGCCCTGCATTATACCAATGGACAAACATGTTGGAACGGACCGGCACGATCGACAACGGTCGTCTTGGAGTGTGGTGAGGAGAACGAGATTCTGAAGGTGGCCGAAGATGAGAAATGCGTCTACTCGATGCTCGTTACCTCGCCGGCTGTTTGTCCCGGCGGTGAGGAGGAAGGGAATGCTGCCCCGAGGAGCAAAGATGAGCTGTGAGAGGCTGGCCGTACTCTACTGACATGCTTGTGGGGTCATATATAGTTAGCGGTTAAGTAGTTTATACTTAGTAGAGAATGTTTTGAATAGCATATACGGCAGTTGCGTTGTGTTTTGAAGGCCGAAATATCATGACCAAGCTGGTTACAGTAGATGCTTCTTACGTCGCAGACCCCCTCCCCCTCAGCAGTCTGTCAGGCAGGTATCATGGATGTGCACGGAGTAAGTAGAATGCGAATTAGTGTGACAATTTGAGTTACTCCCAGTTCTTACTTGGTTTCAGTCGTGATTGGTGCGGCTATCGCGGTGGTTCCATCGAGAAAGAACTGGGAATCTATACTAGAATGTGTATAGTACAGTGGTAACCTAAGTTAGGGTTTAAAGCAAACCAGCACTACTACTCCGTACAAAGTAACTCAAAGCCCCTACAGGTAGAGAATACATGTGACCGGCAAGTTTAAGTTCTTCCAAGTGGACCGGGTTGAAGTTGGGTGCCTCAGCAAAGCATCCACTTTTCTTGGTCAACAGGAGGGGTAGGGCGGGGTGGTTTTACTACGGCTACTACAGTACGTACGAAGTATTAGAGTAGTCCGTACAATAGTAAGTTAGTGCTCAATCAGGGATCAATGATAGAATAGATGTCGGCCAAAATCATAGACCCCTTCATAAAACAAGAATATAGCACTGTAGGATCCACAGTCGAGAAGCCAGGACGACTCTTCTCGGTCCACGCACGCATGCTGGTTGCTGATACCCACTTGATTCCCCATACCCTCTCGTTATACAACTCAGCCTTCCCCTCCTCGCCCCATCCACAGCGGCCTCGACGTGGCAGCACCGATCATGACTTCAAGGATCACCTCCTACGACCCGCAATCATAACTGGGCGTGCTATCGAGGAATTCTTTCAGGGGCATCCCAGCATAGAAATGATTCCAGAGTCAGCGATTAGAGATATCTGGGATAAGCCGTCTGCCAGGCCTTGTGATGATAGAAAAAGATAAGCCAATCCGCAGAGTTTGCGACAATTGCCTGCATGTATCATCAGCCCACTCAAGTGATCTGCTTCATTAGTGGGTGCTTCACATCCTGAGGGGCAAGGAACCCGGCTGCTTGCGGTGGGATCCATACGAGTCGCACTGTGGGTTTCAGCAAGCATGGAATCCTCCAGTCATGCTCGCCAAAGTCATGCAGAAGGCTGAAAAGAAAGGGAACAAGCCATTCGCTTGCCTCTAGTGAAGTATATACGTATGGATCAGCAGACGCCGTGCATCGGTGTTGGTGGGATGGAATTCCAAGCGCAGAGCTCACCCTATAGTCAATACTGAGAAAGTTATAAGAACCCTCTCCCTCTTTTGACCTGTCTGATCTAAATCATTCATCCTGCACAATTCCACTATTCTCTCCCAAAGACCATCACCTTCTTTCCATCTCTCGCCAAACAAGCTC